GAATGACTTCGTGCTCTATCAATGACTTAATAAGAGGACATTCTATAATAAATGTTAATTTACTTGTTAAATAATATTATTTTTATAATAAATAAATCAACACCTATCATAAAAACCTTTAAATTAAATATTGATCAAAATTTTATAATAATATTAACTTATCTATTATAGAATGAACATTTTTTAACGGGTAAATTAACACTCTTTATAAAATATTTTTGATATATTTATAAATATGGTATCATATCAATTTTTTTATAGCGTCTAAATGACACTTGATATAAAAAATGTGTCAAAAGAATATTATTTTTGTATTAGTGATTATTTATTATGTACGGTGTTTGAATTACAAACCAAATGAAATCTCTTGAATCCGACGGCAAAATTAAAAAAGGTTTGTCAAAAACATCTAGACAAATACATTTCGGACTAAACTTGGTAGCTTGTTTTTTCTGCGGAGGAAAAACTCCTCGCTCTTTTCGCCCATGTTTGACAAAGACCATACTATGCAATTTCCCTGCCTAGTTTGTCCAAATGCATTGTTCAATCATTTCCCTAAACAATTAATAAACATTCTTCAAACTCTTTTATGTCCTATAAATAGCAACACTCTCCCCTCCCTCTATGCATCATTAATATTCATCACTCACAATCACAACGGTAACAGCAACACCACAATGGCCAACCCTAACTCCAACCCTTTCACTGTTTTCCTCATGACATTTATCTTTTCTCTTTCGCTATTCACCAGTGTCAAATCAGACTCATTCGCTTTCAACTTACCCAGTTTCGAGGCAGATGCTGAAAACATACTACTCCTTGCTGATGCCACAACAACAAATGGAGTGCTACGACTGACCAAAACGAACCGAAACGGCATCCCAGTTAAACATAGCAATGGCCTCGCAGTATTCGAAGGAGTGGTTCATCTCTCCGACAGAAAAACTGGGAGAGTCGCAAACTTCCACACCGAGTTCTCCTTTGTGGTGAACACAGAGGGTGCATCACTCCACGGCGATGGCTTCGCCTTCTTCATCGCATCAAATGAATTTGAGATCTCAACCGACTCCAGTGGAGGGTTCCTCGGACTTTACAACCAAAAAACAGCCTTTAACCCCTCCAAAAACCAAATCGTTGCTGTTGAGTTTGATAGCTTCGCAAATGAATGGGACCCTAACTACCCAAAGTCTGATTCTCCTCATATAGGGATTGACATAAACTCTATTAGGTCAGTGGTAACTGCGCCATGGTCAATTGATGTTCAACCAAATGGAATAATAGGAAAGGCACGCATAAGCTATCAATCTTCCTCCAAAATATTGAGCGTTTCCGTGTCTTATCCAAATAGCCCTGTGGACTCGAATGTCACTGTTTTGTCGTACCCCGTTAACTTAGGGGCTGTTCTGCCTGAACGGGTCATTGTTGGTTTCGCCGGTGCCACCGGTGACTTGGTTGAAACACATGACATTCTTTCCTGGTCTTTCAGTTCCTTCTTGTAGAGCAGCACAGTGGAAGAAGATCGAGATGGGAATAAACTAATAAAGTGCTGCTTTAGAGAATGATCGATGGTCTTTTATGGTTTAATTTGATTGATGTTGTTAGTTGTTACTGTTGTGATGTTTCTTTTTCCGGTTACCCAATAATTTAATATTAAGATTAACATTTTCTAAAATGGTTCAATTAATAAAATTACAACACTTTCCTGCCACGAAATTGAAGTTTAATAGCTGAAAATTGCACCATCAAAAGTTGAGTTATCCCTATAGCGATGTGTATTTTGAAAATGTAACAATTATAAGGTTGAGTTATATATATATATATATATATATATA